TCGCAGACTACTTGTTCAAAAGCACATGAACTACAGCTGACATTTATCCATCTTATCAATTAACATAAATGACAGAGTCAGGTTAACAGATTGTGTGTGTCTGTGTTTGTGAGAGAGAAAGTGAATGTGGCGCCCTCTACCGGTGTGTTGTTCATGGTGTGAAAATATTAAGCAGCACTTTGTTTTCATTTTAACTCCTGAAACTTTGACTGAAAATCGATCGGAATAAAAATATTGATTCCTGTGAGTTCAGTCGTGGATCTTTAGGATCACCTAAAGGGAAATTGTGTATGTGAGGCGCGTGAAGGCGGCAATAATTAAGAGGTGTGAGACAGGAAGAGAACAAAATCTGCATTCAAAATAAAAGCACAGCACTGGGGTTTGGATCTTTTGAATTTATTCATCTCCCAAAGTTGTTTCAAAAATAATTTACTCTTACTAGCTATCAACATACATCCGATATTTTTAGCAATGCATCATATTGTTTACTTTTAACAGACATACACTTGTGAACCGTAACTTGTCAGTATAAACGAGGTAAGCAGTGAGAACAAACCGTAGAAAAAGGAGAATGTTCAAAATAAACAGTCAAAATCTCCAAAATATATATATCTATAAAACCAGTCAGTAAATAAAATGCATTTCAATGTCTCAGTTTAAAAAAAATTACATAATCTTCCTGACGCCTTTCTTTGAGTGTTTTAACTAAATTCAGATTTTTTTTTTGCCTGGATTGCTCTTGCTTTACCTATTTTTATTTAAAATAAGGAAACAAGTAACTAAAAATATAAACCTGCTTTTATAGTCATATAACATTTTATAACATACTTTATTCTGGAAATTAAATTAAAACAAAAATAAAAATCCAAGTATCACAAAAGTAACATAGATTTATTTTTTAATCTATAATTTATTAGCTCGTAACTTTTAGTTAAAGCCAGCCTGTGAGTCTGATTTACTCAGGTTTAAATTTGGAGGGTGTGAGAGCCACAGGCAGCGGACTGGGCAAAACAGTTGTTTTCTACAGTCATTGGTCTTAACGCTGTGATCTTATTTTGAAAATACAGGTTCCGGTAGCAGCTCTGCAGTGTTAGCTGTAGCTTGACGCTGGTTTGCGGAGAACGCGCAGAGCCGCTGCCGCACACGGAGCGACGCTGACGGACTCGGTGTGACTGACTTTGGATTTTTGTGGTTTGTGGAGCAGCGTGGGCACTGGAAACAGGGAGAAACAGCCGGAAAACAGATATTTAAGTCGGTTTGGAACGGCGGAATGGCGGACCGGGACCCGGTGCCGCTTCCTGCGGAGGTGCGGGCCAAACTGGCCGAGCTGGAGCTGGAGTTATCCGAGGGTGAGTACTTGGGTTTCACCGCGGAGCTCGGCGGCTCTGCCGGGGCTCTACTGCTGTTGTTGCTCTGGGACTGTTTGTCCTTGCTGAGTTTGAACTGCTAGGAGATAAAGTGCTGAGCTCCAACAAGTTCAAGTGCATGTCTGTTCACACGCACACACGCTGCCACAATGACTGCTTTGACTGATCTGGATTTGGATGCAGGAGATGTGGCAGTGAAATGGAAACAGAGCTGTCACTGGCTGTGGACAGACTACAGTGCTGTTAGGGGGTTCTTGGATTGAAAGGAGATCATTGCAGGTTCTCTCCCCCACACTGACACACAACGTCACCTGACGCCAGGTATCATGGGAATAATACAGATAATAGATAAACATCCCATAAAGTGCTCTGGATGAACTGGAGTGGCTGCTGTGCACCAGAGCTCCACGGTATTGTTGCAGTGAAGCCTGCAGGGCTCCTCATTATTCATAGACTGTTGATTATCTGAAGGAGTTCATCAATCCTTACTCTACATAGTGTCCCAGAGTCCAAACACAGCCACTTTACAGCCAGCATTCACCTTTGAATCCAGCTGTACATCACCTTTTAACACTTAACTGCTTTATTTTGTCTGCTCAGGTTTTCAAAAATTCCCTACAATAATTCCCCAGAGTCAGGTGACGTCTCCAAAATCCACACACATCCACGCTGCTCTGCTAATTCCTGATAAAAGTCAAAGAATATGTGTCATTTTTACCCCTAATCTGTTGATCTGTGCATGAATCTTTCCATCACGGCTGATAAACAACCCATAAAGTGCACTTTGAAGCCTCACTGGAGCGCAGGAGGCACACAGCAGCCTGCTGTGGGGATATCCCGGGAATTCTGTGGAGGTTTGTGTTTGTCAGTAGGAAAGTTGTTGTCAGAGAGGTTTTGTTATAAAATCCCGTTGAGCAGAGCCCTGCACGCTGCTTAGATGGTGCACAGGCAGCATGCAGCTGTTAGGAGACACACTTTTCACATGACACACCGCAGCCAGGCAGCCTTTTCTCCAGAGGGGCGATGAATGATTCCCATTATATTCCTGCGCCCCCCAATAACACTACAGCATGCTATATCGGGTTGTTTTGCAAGATACTGAAATGCAGCTTGGGTATTGATTTTCTCATTAGCCCCCTCACCACCTCCTCCCTCTCTTTCTCCCCCTCCTTCCTCCTTGTTCTTCTTCTACTTCAGATTGATATGTCACATTGCTGCAGACTCACTCTCAGCCTGGAGAGTATCATAGTGTCATATTTCAGCTTCCTGCGAGCAGTGTTTTCCCTGCTTCTCTCCGAGTCTTTGGAGGCTTTGTGAGGCTCGGCCATGTATGGAGAAAGAAGACGGCACAGAGGAAGAGGGAGGGAGGGGAAGAGATTGTAACAGCTGACTCTGAATGCACACATCGCATTTTAATGTTTCCACCACTGCTGCTGTGAACGCTGAAAAGATGAGACAAGTAGTGGTGATGAAGAGGAGGGATGGATGGGGCGGGGAAGGTTGCACATATAAACCGCCAACTCGGAGTTCCTCCAGTGTAAACAAGTGCGTCTCTGGGAAACGGGGTCAGATGCCCCGCTGCAATATTTACATGCTTTGTTGATGGCGCGAGAGTCTGCGGTGGCGGCGGATGCAAAGCTTCCCCGCGTCCTGCAGACTTTGACCTAATTTTTCAATTTCCACGCATCATCCCTCCTCCATGCTTTGAAGCCTCTCGCCTCGGGGGAGTGGTGGCAGAAAACGCTGTTGTCAGCACTCAGGTGAAGGCAGAGCTTCACGGGGACCTCGTATCCTGCTGAAGAGCCCTTGAGCAAGGCAGTACACCCTCTTGTTTCCCCCCTAACTGTCATCAGGTGGTGGGAAGCATCCTCAAAGTGCTTCAGGTGATGGAACAAACATCCCCCTTATACACTGCATGAAAATGCTCTCTGAGGAAGTATGAGGATAATGGATCATATACCTGGAGGATGAGTGCCTTGCTCATGGGCACAAAGTTCCTGTAAAGCTGTGTCGACACCTGGATGCTCACAGTGATGACGATGGCAGCACAAAACAAAAAAAACAAACCCTCTGCTTTTTCTCTCAGCCTGCCTCTCTGCTCAAACCCTACCAACAGTTCCTACATTTCCCAGAATTCCCTCTGTTCTGAGCACCATCAGGGCACAGGTGTGAACTTGAGAATGAATTTTAAAGCCTGCTGGGCGGACGCTAGATTGAGCAGCGCGGTGAATAGTTGTGATTTAGATAAAAGAGGAGGCGACCTCTCACTCGGACGCTGACTTATCGCATCGCTGCAGTGCATCCTGGGATAGCTGGGGCTCTTAGTGGTCTGTAGTTTTTGCAGGAGACCTTCTGGGTGTGGCACAAATGTGGCATGTTTTAATAATAACTTTATTTATCAGACTTGGAGAAAATAGAAGCTTGACTGACTTCTCCCCAGTCTGAGTTTAAGAGCACCGCTTTCATTTTGCTGCTGGATCTGATTTTGGAGAAGAAGGGCTGGGAAACGAATGTCGCAAACACCCCTCACCCTGCAGGTCTGCAGCCTGGACACGGTCCTCACAGAGACAGACACTCCCGCTGAAACACACAACCCCGCGCTCGTCGTGCAGCTGCAGACTGACGGGCTGTCCTCAGCTAATCTGGCTGCTGGCTGAATATTAAGCTCTGCAGTCCAGCCCAGATAACAAGCTGTCCATCCCAACACACTGCAGATTACACACACACACACCAGGCTGACCTCAGCTGCTCTGCAGTGCTCGTGCATTGTTGTCTCTGCTGTAGTTTTGATGCAGATTTAGGTTTGTTTCCGTTTTCTTTCATTATGCGCTGCACCAGCTGCCAGGAGGGCACATGCCAGTCAGCTCTGTGGGCATCTCGTCGCCTGTAAACAGCCCAGGAAACATTAAACGCATCATTTCTCAGTCCAGTTTTTGGAGTCTACCTTTGCTCAGGCTTGCTCCGGGTACTCCTGCTTGTCCCAAAGTCCAAAGACGTGCACATCAGATTAATTGCTGATAGGAAATTGTCTCTAGGTGTGAAAACAAACCCTAAACAAAGACAGACTTTTTCCACTTTTGACACATTGTCTCAAACTTACTCTCCTTGACATCAAGGAGAGGGCGATTCTTTGCATTAGAAAGATTCTAAAATTAAAGGCATACCAGTCTTCTTAGGCCGCGATGTCCGACTATCCCGCAGCTACACAATTAACGTTCCACATCCACAATGTTTTTTTGTATTTCTTTATTTTTTGAAGCTTCCTGGTTATCTAATAATTTTCACAGGTCTTTGACTCTCCTCTTTGCTGTCAGCCGTGTTGAACTGATACACGACGATGACTGTCTAATTAATTAATCAGCAGATAACTGAAGCTCTTACTTTGGCTGCGAACGTCCAGCTGCTCGCTGACCTGTTTGGCACGTTGGGTAAAAAAGTGAAAGGCTTCAGCTCGTTTCATTTTTTAGATTTCGAAGGGGCGCGCTCGTGCAAAAGCGAGCTGCTTCATTGGTTTGTAAGTGTATTCATCTCATGGCAGAACGTATTGAAAGTTACTTCAGTGTCACATTTCATTGAATCGAGAAGTGAAACCCTTTGGCGAGCTTGGGCTGATGTTAAAATCGCTCTTGCTTCACTCACATCTGGTCCTGATAAGAGTCCTGTGTGAGACTTCGGCAGTGAGTCTGTTATTCTGAAGCGCTCACTCTTCCCTCTTTCTTTCTTTCCTGAAAGCTCGTTCTGTCCGTGGCTCAGCAGAAGCGCTTCCTCTCAGCTCTGATATTTGAAAAGTACTCCAGTGTTCCTTCTCTGTGATTTATCGCCCGTATTTCGACCCAAAGGCAACAGGTTTAACTGACAGAAGTGTGAATCTGAGCGTGAGCAGTCTTCTGGATCTGTAGGGCCGTTTCCCAGAATTCATCTCTCGGAAACGTGGGCCGCCTAAGTTCACGTGGTTTAAAGCAGATCTGAGGTCTGAGTGCTGTTTGGAGCTAGCACTGCGTGACTATCAGTTTTCCACAGGGCTCTGGTGCAGTTTAGGGCAGTGCTTAAGGCTTTATGTCGTGGCTGGTGAAGTCTTGAATAATTCAATCTGAGGAAACTGAGATCTGCATGTGAATGTGCAGAATCGGCAGCTTTCTGGTGAACTCTGAGTTTGAAGGCTTTAGTGGCGTGTGGGTGCGAGCTTTCTGCAAGTGACCAGCAGAAGTGGAAGTCCTGGCCCAGATTTCGCCGTCTGCAGTGAAAAGTCTGAAACGGTGGCTGTTTCTGCACATCGGCCGGTGGCTTCCCAGATTTTATTGACTGAATAATTGTTTTGTCCATCACACGAACGGTTAAAGAATCAATCATCCTGCAGCCGACTGATCCTTTTAACTGTACAGGGCAATTTCTTCCACCGTGATAATTATTATAGAGTTTCAGCCGCAGGTCTTTCGGTTTCTTTGCAGATGAATTCGCTTCTCGGAGTTTGTCAGAACAGGATGTGATGTGACGTTTTTGGCAGATTTTCAGAAGCTTCCTGCTGAGTGACAGCGTCTGTGCAGAGATGGAGCTCTGATCCTTCCGACAGCTCGCTGTGAATCAAGATCTTCTGGGAAACGCCACTGCTGCGTCCAACCCAGCTTTCTCCTTTTGAGTAATTTGAGATGTCATCATGCACGCAAATAAACACATTTTTTGGTTTGTTTTTAAGAGCTGTGTGCAGAATGTCCAAAGACCGCAGATATTTATTTGCTGAGCGAATCCTGGAGGTGTAGCTGCTGACTGTCCAGCTCGGTTCTTCTCTTCCTCTCGCCTTTTTGTTGCATTAACGAAAATCCCCCAAAAGGTAAACTGGAAATGTAAATGCTGTCACCGGGCTCAGATAAATGTCTCCTTCTCTGCGATTCTTTGAAAACGAGCTGATTAATTTTTCATGAAGCGCAGACAAAGATGTCATTTTCCTCCCTAACAGCCTGAAGTGAACCGTGGGATTTCTCAGT